TCGTCTCTCCTGCCCCCGGCAGTCCCCCCTTTGCCGGTGCGGGTCACTCACAGCGCCCGGTCCCGGTCCCCTCCATGGCCGCGGTGGCGGCTGCGGCTCCACCCGCGGTTTGAATCTCCCGCCGCCCACGTGGCCCGCGCGGGGGCCGCCGGGGACTGCAGTCCGGCACCGGGACGGGGGGGGCCCGTGGGTGCACCAAACGGGGTGCGTGGGGACACCCGAGGGGAGGGGGGGAGCCCGTGGGTGCGGGGGTGGCACACACCGGGATGCAGCGGTCGCCTATGGGTTCCGGGGGGTGGCACACACCGGGGGGGCGGGAGGACCCCGTGGGTTCAGGGGCTAGGAAAGAACCGGGGAGCAGCGGGAACCGGTGGGTGGAGGTCCAGGCAGGGGCTGCTGGGGGACCCCAGCCCGGGCTGTGCCCAGGGGCTAGGGCTGTGCCAGGCACAGGGTGCCAGCCCTGCGGTTGACTGTGCCCTCGCTGCTCTGCAGCTGTCCATCAACCCGCGCCAAAGCACAGACCTGCCCTGCCACCGACCGAGCCCCCAGACCTGCCACGAGCTGCCGAGACGGTGAGGGGCCGGTTGTGCCACGCGTGGCGTGGCTGTGTCATCCACTGTGCCCACGTCCCGTGCATCGTGTGGAGGTGCCGCCCAGCGCAAAGCTGTGCCCTCCATCGTGCGGTTTTAGGATCCATCGGTCCCAGTTCTGGCCGGAGTGGAGCTGAAATGTTCTTCTCAGTGGCTGGCACGGTGCTGTGCTTTGGATTCAGAATGAGAACAATGTTGATAACGCCGGTGTTTTGGGGTTTGGTAAATTGTGTTGCTCCTACGTCAAGGACCTTTTGGGTTTTTTGTGCCTCGTGCTCTGCCAGTGAGAAAGTTCACGAAAGAAATTGGGAGGGGCCATAGCCCAGACAGGTGACCCAAACTGGCCAAAGGGATATTCCACGCCATAGATGATCATGCCCAGTATATAAACTGGGGGAATTACCTGGGAGGGGCTGATCTGGGTTTGGGAAGGGAGTCTGGCATCAGTCAGTGGGTGTATTCTGCATCATTTGGGGTTTTTTTCTTTCCCTTTTTTTTTAATCATTATTATTATTACTTACCATTATTATTGCATTTTACTTTGTTTTCAATTATTAAACCCTTCTTATCTCAACCTACAGGTTTCACTTTTGACTCTCCACCTCAATCCATGAGGTTGGGAGGGGGAAAAAAAGGGGGATTGAGCTGTGTGGTGCCTAATCTCCATCTGGGCTTAAACCACAACTGTCACCCAGGTTGTGCCGTCCATCCGTCACAGGTCTCACAACCGGTGCCGCTGCACGGAGTTGCCATGGCGCTGCACACCGTGCTGGTGACAGGGGTGAAACCAGAGCCAGCGGGGCCATTGCAGGATGTGCTTCCCTGGGAGCTTTGTCCCAGCCTGTGCCAGCTCCTGCCACGCTCCTGCCGCTCAGAACCCGGCTGTGCTGCAGCACCAGGCACCAGCGTCCATCGCCCCAGTGGAGAGACCCCTCTGACCCGTCCATCCACCCCCATCAGAGAGCTGTGACGTGCAGCAGCACCGGTGGGGATGCCCGGGCCTTCCCCTCCCTGCTCTGAGCACCCTCCTCGCCTGAAGAGCAAACAGTAAGTGTGTGCAAACGGTTCTTCTGCCTCCCAAAAAGGCGCCCCGGGAACTTCCCACTCCCTGCTGTGGCATCTCCCCTGCTCCCCCAGAGTGATCTCTCCCACCCCGGGTGGCCACCAAGGTTTGCAGGGTCCTCCGTGGAAAGGCCTTTTCCCCCCTTGAAATTTTAACAGCAAACAAACCACAGGAGTTCCCTAATTTTTCATAAATAATATAAAATAACTCTGCTCATTTGAATCCCTGGCAGGATCGTGCCAGCTCGGCTGCCTGAGCTCCTGCCTCTCTTGCAGGCCGGTCGCTGCCCATGCCCATGGCTTCAGAGGAGGCTGCTGAGCCGGGATTGCAACCCACCACCCCTGCCAACCCCGTCCTCCCCTCCACCACCACCACCCCTGCAGCCCCTGCAGCCTCCACAGCCCCCACCAACCCTCCCAGCCGCAAGAAGAGCCAGAAGAAAAAGAAGGAGAAGGCCGAGGCCAGGGGAGATGCCCAGGAGGGAGGTGATGAGGCAGAGGGGCGGGTGGCCGCGATTGAGGGGCTCACACAAGCTGGGCGCCGGGCGCTGGCACTGGGGGCCAGGCAGGAGGCAGTGGGGTGCTTCAGGAAGGCCCTGCTCCTCTCCAGGGACACAGTGAGCCCTCAGCTCCGCAGGGCTTGTGCCTTCAACCTGGGAGCTGCCTACGTGGAGACTGGGAAGCCCAGAAAGGCCCTCGAGTTCCTCCTGCAGTCCCAGCCCTCGGAGAGGGAGGACGAGGAGGAGCACCCGGGGGACCTTTATTTCAACGTCGGGGCAGCTCGGGAAGGGCTTCAGGACTTTCCCAAGGCTTGTTTTGGCAAAGCCAGCGGCCGCGACGGCGTGTCGCAGGCTGGCGGCCGGGCAGGGACCCACGTGCAGATGGGCTGCTGCTACCTGGGGATGCGGGAGCCGGCACGAGCCGCGCGGTGCTTCCTGGACGCGGCGCGGACCTACAGGGCGGCGGAGAGCCCCGAGGCGGCGGCGGTGGCTCTGAGCAGGGCGAGTGGCTCCATGCTGCAGAGCCGGCGGTTCCGGGCGGCGGAGATCGCAGGGGTCCTGGCCCAGTGCCGCTCTCTCTGTGAGGCCATCCCCGACCCGGCCCTGCGAGGTAACGCTGTACTGCGCCCTTTGCTCTCGAGGGTCCCCGGGGGGGGGGGGGGGGCAGCTCCCGCACCCGCTTTTCCTCTGCGCCCCCCAGGGAAACTCTACCACGACATCGGCCTGGGCTACTCCCAGCTCCACATCTTCTCCCTGGCTGCCGAGAGCTTCGAGCAGGCCCTGGGGCTCTGCCGGGGGGACCGGCCGCGGGAGGCTGCGCTGCTGCAGAACCTGGGCGCTGCCCACAACGCGCTGCGCAGTTTTGGCACGGCGCTGGGCTGGCACCGGCGCGCGGCCGCGCTGCACGGTAGGTTACACACCGCTGTCATCGGCTCTTGGCTCTGCTGGGTGTGCCGGCTGGGGATGGAGACCCGTGTCGCCGATTCCAGGCGCCCTGGGGAACCGGAGGGCGCAGGGGCAGTGCTTTGGGAATCTGGCCTACGCCTGCAGCCGGCTCGGGAACCACGAGGCTGCCGCGGAGAACTACCTGCACTCCCTGCAAGCCTTCCGGGACTCAGGTGAGGGGAGGCACAGGCAAACACACCCCCCCTTGGGCGGTCTGCAGCACCAAGCTGGGTGATGCTCCCTGCCCAGGACCTCGACTGCATCATGCTGGGACTGATGCTGCCCTTTGCTTCCCAGGGGACATGCAGGGGCAGTGGCAGGCATGTGAGGGGCTGGGCACAGCCTGCTTCCAGCTGGGAGACCCCCAGAAAGCCATCGGGCACTACCAGGAGGCCCTGACTTTGCTTTCCCACTGTCAGGTAAGACCCACTGGTGAACCTCCAGGGCCAGACTCTGCTGTGCATCACAGGTGTCCCAGCCCTGGGGACAGACCCACTCAGCCCATCATCCATGTGGGCTCTGTCCACCACAGGACACCCCCAGAGCTGCCCGAGAGCGGGTTGTGCACAAGCTCACGGATGCCATTCAGCACCAGCTCTGCCTCGGTGGCCGCCTCTCCCACCGTGGGGGCCAGGTGCCCACCCCAGCTCCGGTGAGCATCACCCAGGGCGTGGGACACAGGTGGGCTGGGACCCCAGTAGGGGTTGGTGGCAAGAGGTGCCCAGGTTTGGTGGGCAGAGGGACAAACATGTGAGTCCCAACCATCCCTCCATCCCAGCAGGAGCTCAGCCAGCTGCAGGTTTGCTCCATGCTGCCCCAGGCCAGCGGGACACTGCTCCAGGGGAGTGAGGTGTGAGTAGCAAAGGTGCTGCCCTCTCCCTCCTTCCTCTGGGATGAGTTCCCAGCATCACCCAGGAGACAAACCTTCCTTTCTTCACTCCAGGTCCTTTGGAGGGGAAACTCAGGACCAGCTTTACGTGTGTGTGCCAGGACCACACCCCAGGCCTTCAGGTGAGAGGGTTAGACCTAAATGCAGGATTGAGCCACCCAGGAGATTCCTGCTGAAGCTCAGGCTTCAACACCATCTGACACTCTGCTCTTGCCTGTTCGTCCTTCCTCCCTGGAGGCAGAGGAGTGGCCCTGACTGATGCCCTTGCACTGGAGCCCCACAACCCACACGGCACCCTGGGCACCTCTGGGGAGGATGAGGGTGGTCCCAGAGTGGCTCCAGGGTGTCTGAGTCAGCCCCAGGCTAACAGGTAGGTGGGCGAGGGGGAGTCACCCCAGTACAGCCTCTGATACCCAAATACTCCTGCAACATGAGTGGCGTCTCTCCAGAGAAGCTCCTGGTTAATGGGGAAAATCCAGAGGTTTTTAAAGATACATAATTCTGGGGAGTTGGTTTGGGGTACTTCCAGCTGGAACCTGGGGAGGGCTCGGTCATGTGGCGATGGGGGAAGTTTGTCATGCAGATGCTCTCTGTCACCTCCACATGAGCTTCACTTCAGTGCCAGTAATGGGACCACCCCCCCTTGTGCCCGGCCCCACCACCCCACACAGGCCTGTAAGTACGGAACACAACTGGAGTGTCACTTCCCTGGAGAGCCCAGGGCTGCAGGTCTCACACTGTGTTCCACAGGGCATCCTGACCACCAAACCCTCCAGCCAAGGCCTCAGGAGCAGTAGGTGATGCCCTGGGGAAGTGAGTAAGGGAGCAGAAAGGAGGTTTGGGCTCCAGGGTGTCCTCTGAGAGGAGGGTTCAGGGGTGGAGACCCCCAGCAGGGCTTGGAACACCCCTGATTCTTGCAAGGGACAAGTTCCTAATCCAAAAATCACGAAGCCTGGGGATTTTGACACCTTGTAGCCAGCATCAAACCCCGCCCTGTGGATGGGGCAGTAGATCTGAGGGTGCTTTCCAGCACCCCGGTATGAACCTCCTGCCCACTACTGCCTTCCAGTGCCTAAAGGGGCTTCAGGACAAATGGAGAGGGACTTTGGACAAGGGCCTGGAGTGACAGGACAAGGGGGAATGGCTTCCCACTGCCAGAGGGCAGGGTTAGATGGGATCTTGGGAAGAAATTCTTGGTTGTGAGGGTGGGAAGGCCCTGGCATAGGTTGCCCAGAGAAGCTGTGGCTGCCCCCTGGCAGTGTTCAAGGCCAGGTTGGACAGGGCTTGGAGCAACCTGGTCTAGTGGAAGGTGTCCCTGATCATGACAGGAGGGTGGGACAAGCTGGGATTTAAGGTCCCTCCTCACCCAAAGCAGTCTGTGACTCCATAACTCCATTTTACATCCCGCTGGACACTCCCACAACCTGTGATGCCACCGTGATCTCGCAGCCCTGGCAATGACCCCACTGCCACTGCCACCAGCTGCCGGCCCCACCCGGAACCCCCCAGAAGGACCAGGACACTGTCCCTCGTCTGCAGCCTCGTGTGACCAGCAGAACACGTGGGAGATGCTGTTCCTTGGGAGGGGGCCTGGACAGCCCCAAGCTGGAGTGGGGTTTGCAGGGGGGGCCCATTGAGCCAACACGGTTTTGACCCCGCTCTGTTTCCACCATCCTTTCCATGCCAGGGTTTGGCGGCTGAGGGGGCATGAAGGGACTGGAGGGACCGTGAGGTCCTGACGGGACTGGAGGAGGAGGAGGAGGGGGCTGGATGGACCACGAGGTCCCGCGGCCTGAAGAGGGAATGGAAGGGACCGTGAGGTCCTGTACCGGGGCTGGAGGGGGAGATGGGGGCTGGATGGAGCAGGGGGTGCCAAGGGGACTGCAGGGGGAGATGGGGGCTGGATGGAGGGCGGGGAGGGAGAGAGGGTGCCCAGCATGGGCCAGTCGCTCGGTGACGATCGCTCCGTGACGGTCTCTCGCTGACGATGGCTCGGTGATGGTCTCTCTCTGACGATGGCTCGGTGATGGTCTCTCAGTGACTATCGCTCCGTGCCGGTCGCTCCTCCCCGGGGCGGCCCCGCGCCTGCTCCCTCCGAGCTCCTCGCCCCGTTCTGGGCCGGTCGGGGCCGAGGCCGCCGCATGCCGGGCCCGAGGGCGCTGCTGGGGCTCGGGCTGCTCGTGGCAGCGGCGCGGGCGGGCGGGCGGTGCCGGGGCTGGGGTTGGGGTTGGGGTCGGGGCCGGGAGTGGGGCCGCTGCCCTCCCCGCCGCGCCATGCACGGCCCCAGCGAGGGGACCGGCCCGAAGGGGCTCCGCTTCCTCGGGTAGGGCTGGGTGGGGAAGCGGGGCGGGGAATGAGGGGGGTGGGAGAGCTGGGCGGGGGGTTCTGGGGGTCCGCAAGGTGCGGGGGGGCGGAAGGGGTCGAGGAGGACGGGACATGGTGGGGGTGGCTGAGAGATGCAAAGGGATCGGGCAGGACCTGAGGTTGGGATGCAGGTATACACAGGGGGGGGGTTCGGCGTGTGTGTGTTACCCCCCCATGGCTCATGCAAAGTCGAGGGGGGTCATAGCGGCCCCCCAGCCCTGCAGACCTTGTGTGTGGCCGGGTGTGGGGGTCCCCAGGGGTGCCATCCTCCTCCCCCCAGGCAGGAGGAGGCCCAGGCCATCGACCAGGAGCTCTTCACGGAGTACAAGTTCAGCGTGGATCAGCTGATGGAGCTGGCAGGGCTGAGCTGTGCCACTGCCATCGCCAAGGTGGGGGTCCTGAGGGGCAGGTTACTGTGGGGTTACTGTGGGGTGCCAGCACTGTGTACTGAGCTGTGCCACCACAAAGGTGGGCACCAGGGAGGCAGGTGGGGATCCAGGGAAGGGTCCTAGGGTGGGGTCCCAGTCCCATGGGCAGAACTGTGGCAGCACCAAGGTTGGGATCGCTGGGAGTCCTGGTTGTGTGGTGTGGCCCTGCTTTCCCATCATAACTCCACATTTCCTACCAGGCCTACCCACCCAGCTCCTTCACGACGAGCCAGCCCGCCGTGCTGGTGGTCTGCGGGCCGGGAAACAACGGCGGCGATGGGCTGGTCTGTGCCCGGCACCTGAAGATGTTTGTGAGTCTCAGCACACTCCCTGTGAGGCTGCCAATGCCCACGTGGCCCTGTACCCACAGGGTTTGGGGTCCTGTTCCTCTGGCTGCTGCTGGTGCCAGAGCAGGATGAGTTCAGGTCCCTCATGCTCTTGTAGGGCTACCTGCCCACCGTGTATTACCCCAAGCGCCCCAGCAAGCCCCTCTTCGAAGGTTTGGCCACCCAGTGTGAGAAGATGGACATCCCCTTCCTCCCAGAGTTCCCGACTGAGGTGAGGGGCAGCCGCCGGCTGGGGAGCAGGGGGGAGCAGTGCCCAGGGCTGCCCTTCACCCGCTGCCCTCCCTGCTGCAACAAGGCTGCGTTCATTGACGAGCTCTACGGCCTGGTGGTGGACGCGATTTTCGGGTTCAGCTTCAAGGGGGCGGTGCGGGAGCCCTTCGGCAGCATCCTCAGCACCCTGGAGCGCGTCACGGTGCCCATCGCCAGCATCGACATCCCCTCGGGTGAGTAACGGCCGCACCCCCTGCAGGAAGGTGCCCGGCCGGGGTGGTCCCGGCTCCAGCCCGGCCATGGGGCTCGTTGCAGGCTGGGACGTGGAGAAGGGGAAGGCAGACGGCCTCCAGCCCGACATGCTCATCTCGCTGACGGCGCCCAAGAAGGCGGCGACGCACTTTGCCGGGCGGTACCACTTCCTGGGGGGCAGGTTTGTGCCCCCCGCGCTGCAGCAGAAATACGCCCTGAACCTGCCGGCGTACCCTGGCACGGACTGTGTCCTGCAGCTCACGTAGGGCTGCAGCCACAGGGGCTGGGCTTGGCTTCAGCACCACACTGCAGGGCCGAATTCTGCCCAAGCCTCTGCTGGGAGGGTGCTCAGCACCTTGCTGGGCTTCAGCTCAACCCAGCAGGATCAGACCAAAGGCCCAGGAGGTGAGAGTGATGGGGGTTGCTGGGGGGGCTCCGTTTGAGGTTGCTGCCTGATCCAAGTGATCTGGGATCCTGGGTTCTGCCACTTCCCACACCACTCACACTTTAGGGTGGTCTCACTGCAATAAAGATTTATTTGTGCCCTTGAAAAAATACTTCAATACTCTGCAGGGTCTGTCCCCTTGTGTCCTTCTGCAACGAGCCCACAGCAAACCCAGGGCCTGGGGGGAACTGGGGTCACCCCTGACCAGTGAAGGCTCAGGAGGTGAAATAAAGCTCGATCCAGCTCCAAGCCAACCCATCCCAACCCAGCATCTCCAGGCTGAGCCACAGTGCTGGGCTCTGTCTGGGATGAGCCTGGAGAACCCTTGGGCACCCACCAGCACCAGGATCGGGACCTTCACAGCAAGGTGGGACTGGCAGCTGCACAACACGGCAGCTGTGGCACTTGCTCACTCTGGCTCCCTCTTCCTTTTCTTCTTTTTTCTCTTCTTCCTGGGGCTGTGTTCCAGGTCTGGCTCACCTGTGCCTTCTAGAGGTACATCTGTCTCAGCTGGCTCTTCTTCGTCCTCCTCCTCCTTCTTCTGTTTCTTCTTCTTTTTCCTCTTTGCAGCTTTCCCCTCCTCTTCTGCCACCTCCTGTTCTGTGTTTGCCTCTGGCTTCTTCCTCCTCTTCATGATTTTCCCCTCCTCTCCTGATGCCTCCTCTTCTCCGCGTGGCTCTGTGACCTTCTTCTTCGTGACCTTCTCTGCCATCAGCTCCTCTTCTCCGCTTGGCTCCCAGATCTTCTTTTTCTTCCTCTTCACAACCTTCTCTTCTTTTCCTGATACCTCCTCCTCCTCCTCTCCATTTGGCTCCTGGCTCTGTGGCACCTCAGGGTCGGCTCTATCCTTGGACTTTTTCCTTTTCTTCTTCTTTTTGCCCTGGCTCTCTGCCGGGGGGCTGCTCTCCGGGAGCTCCTGATGCCGCCCCTTGTGCCGGTACATGGCCAGGAACGCTCGTTCCTGCTCCTCCAGGCGCGCCAGCTTGGCACTCATGGTCAGGCCGTGACGGGCACCCCTGCAACGACCACAGGCCGTGGGATCTGGCATCTCCCTGGTAGGAAATGTGCCCCCCAGCCCAGCAGCACCCCCAGCCACTCACTTGTGTGCCGTGCGGCCCCCACACGCCTGCACCAGCTCCTCGTCCGTCAGCCTGCGGGACACAGAGAGGACGTGTCACCCCCCAGCAGTGTGGCCCCTCGCAGCCCCTCGTCCCTCCCCATGGTGGGGATGGGGCTCAGCCTTGCCTCCTGGCCGAAGAGAGGTCCAGCTTCTCCTCCTCCTCCTCCTCGCTGCTCTCGGAGCGGGCGGGCAGCGACAGGGACTCCTCCCCACAGGCTGTGAGTGTGGCCGACTGCACCAGGGACACGGAGGGGCCGTGAGAAAGGGGGGCACAGCAGCAACAGGCTGGGGGCTGTGCTGTGAGCGGGGTGCAGAGCTCTCCACAGCCTTTGCAGAGACACCAGCTGCTCTCTGAGCCCCCTCCCGGGGCCGGTTACCTTCACGAAGCGGCCATAAAGCAGGTCCCCGGTGCTGCTGGCCTTGCGAGGCTTCCTATTGCTGATCCCGCCTCCCTGCTCGGAAAGCGCCTTCACGGAGATGCCATCCTGGAGGGGGAGAGACAAAGGGCTCGGGAACGATCTGCCCAAGGGGCTTCACCCCTCCAGCAGCACCTCTCTGCCACCACGGTCCCTGTGCCGAGAGGGGCTGCGGGGGGCACACACACAGCACAAGGACCACCCAAGGGACCCCAACCCCCTCCCCTGCCTTCCACCCCATCCCTGTCCGAGCAGGGTGCCCCCCCCAGCCCTCCCTCACCTGCCCGGCCTCCACAGCGATGTTGGCAGCCGCCTTGTTGAAGACGTGGTCCCACCAGTGGAAGGTGAAGGGCTCCGCCGCGTCGTGTCCCACCTGCGGGATGCAAGAGGAGCCGCGGGAATGGCTGCGGCCGGCGGGGGGCGCGGGCCCCGGGCCGGGCAGGGGGGCTGCACTCACCCCCGCCGTGTCACACTTCACCTTCACCCGGATGGCCTCGGCGATGCCGTCCTGCCGCTTGCCCAGGCCCTGCCCTGCTGGCACAGCCACCCATCACCCGCGGCCGGGGAGGGCTGGGGGAGACCGGGGGCTG